CCCAGCAATGGACCAATTGTTTCATTAACTTTTTTCTTGTTTTTAACATTTTGGAAGAAGCATTTTTGTTATTTTTTACTTTTGTGCCAAGCCTTTCTTCATTGTGAGCCTCAGCTTTCCTTACTTCATCTTTACAGGCTTGGGCTACTTGCTAATATTCTGCCTTAGTTATGTCAATTATGGTCAATTTCTTTGATTTATTTCCACACCTCACCCTACAATACTACAATATACATGTTAACTAACAATCGTCTGAATTCATGACAACTGGGAATTTATGATGGCTAGGAAATTAAAGTTGAAAAAATTAATTACGCTTTCCCAGGTGGATCTCTGTATGACCTCTATTTCATTGACATTTTGATGTTGGTTCAGTTGTGGGAAGTAGCCAATCCAGCGAAAACAAAATTGCTATCACATTTCTATGAAAAAGAACTCTATTTTGAAAAGCAGATTGGCAAAATCAAGAAGTGCTCATTTGGTGCATATGCGCACGAAGCAAACCAGTAGCAGACTTCAGAGCATTTCACTCCTGGTTCAAACATCACTTCTGCTTTCCATAATAAAAGAATGAAACCCTAATTATTTTATTTTATTTTTAATTCAATTTAATTTTTATTTATTTTCATTTTATTTATTTTATTTATTAACAGATCATGGGGAATTCTTATGCAGGGCAATTAAAATCTACCCGTTTTGAAGAAGCTCTTCATAACTCCATAGAGGCCTCCCTCAGATGTAATAGTGTGGTTCCTCGGCCCATCTTCTCCCAGCTCTATCTTGATCCTGAGCAACCTCCTATTTTGCCGGAAGGTAACCAAGCAAGTATGGCATATTCTAATTGTTCTTATGCTATGTAAAATGTTTATTATTACTTTTGAAAGATGTTTTTCAGAAGTATGTTTTTTAAAGGTATATTGGTTGACTTTTTTTAAAATCATGCATTCCAGATGTGAAACCAAAAGTGGAAGAGCTAGACAAAGAATTGATGCATCGTTACACTCAGAATGGAAGTTTGGATTTTTCCACCAGCCAGACTATTAATGAAACAGAAGAAGATGAGGAGGATGAAGACATGTCTGATTCCAGTAGTCCACCAATCCCATATGCACAGAAACCTGCCCCAGAAGGATCTTGCACTACTGATGGTTGGTTTAAATCTTCTCTGTTTAACATTTCATGCAGAATCAGAGGTGTCTGTGGCAGAGCAGTTATCAAATGATGAAAACAGTTTGCCTCTATATAAATTGTAGATTGTGATGTCACAGGTATACAGGAAAAGGGCAGCAGTTGCTTTATGATGGTTGTGTTACTTTCACAGAAGGGCAGTAGTGGGTTGCAGGCGGTACACCCCGTTACAGGCGCTCCGGAGCCTACCTGGAGCTCTGGGTACCGTTCCAGTACAGTGCTCTGGAGGGCCCGCCTGTGCTCCTTACCTGTCTTTAAACTCTGTGGTGCTTCTGCACATGATGCGTACAGTGCCTGTGCAATGCTCCACTGAGAAGTTGGAGCATTGCGGAGGCTTGTGGAAGCGTCGCTGGATGGTAAGACGTATGTGTGCATTGTGCGCGTTCATGTGGAGATCGTCGGCCCCCGTTGCAACCGTACCGTACTGGTTGCAACGGGATCCAGAACCCACTACTGCAGAAGGGTCAGACCTTGCAGAATACTACTTTGTTCAAAGTTAGAAATAAATAAATTATGCTATGGATACATTTGTGATATGAACGTATAACTTTTTTTGTAACAAAATCTTTAAAAAATCATAAAAATATAATGTCTGCTTCTGATTTAAGCTAATCCTATTTGGTTCAATAGAATTTCTCCAAAATTTAGGGTTTTATAGTACTTTGAAATGTTATAATATCTAAGGCTCCTTTGTGAAATATTTTTATTCAGTTAAAATTGGACTTATTTGCATGCAAACTAAATGCAAGATTGAAGTCTGATTATGTTTATGTTACTTGAGCATAAATAGTGGAAATAGCTCAAATTGTTGTATTTTTAAAGGGCATAGTAAGAAGTGGTCAGGGAGGAATAGTTTATTTAAATCCTATATCATAAATATTAATAATAATTTTAGTTTTGTATTTTTAGATAGAATTTGGCTTGTCTTTCTGATGGCACCAGGCAAAAATATATTTTAACAACTTATATGAAGAAAATGTTTTGTTCATTAAAGAAAGCAGTCCCTTTCCCACTTCCAAATCTGAAAATTTCCACATAAAGTGCAGTTCAGGTTGCAGAGAGTCTAAGGTAAAAATACACCAGAAGAGAATTTTATTTACAGAAGTGAGATTCTTGAGAATGACAATCCAGGTTATTTTAGCCAACAAATATATGCTTCTCTTCAGGCTAGTTTCATTTTAAACTTCATTCACTTCTTTGACCTTTGGACTTTCCTGCCCTTATTTCTCTTGCCAAAAGATTGACAAATTATTTGCACTAGATTAAGATTGCAGTATAAAACATGCTTACCTGGAAACAGATTTCACTGAATTTACTGAGACCAAAATAGTCATATAGTGAGTCATACATAAAAATCATAGCAATTACATTGTTGGGCTCAAGGCTATATGAAAAAATTAAGTTATTGCTATGGGAATTGTGAAAGCCATGTGTAAACAAATGATGTACTGAATATTCTCAGCAGAAAACTGTTTGATAAGATTAATATTAATCCTCCCTTGGATCAGAACATTTCTTGTGTTTCAATCCACCAGTTCATCTAGTCTCCCTTAAACATCCTGTGTTTTGTTTGGTGATATTTTGTTCCATTGTAGCCTGTAGGCATAAAAAACCAATATGGCAAGTCCAAAATATACAATTGATTTTTCAAAAAAGACTGCAGTTATGGGTCAAATGATTTTTACTTTAAAATCTGAACTTCATGTAGAGACCATAACTGAATAGCATGTAATGTCTCTATAAACTGATCAATTAGGTAATAGCTATGGCCCTACCACTGGACAGAATGTCATCTTGGACAACAGATGCTCAGCAACAGCACCAGTCTTCTGATCTTTCCCCTCCGTTAGAGAAGCAAGCTTGCAATCTTTGAATTAATATGTTGTTGCTGTCAGTACCGACCTGTTTCCTATGTATTGAAGGAATATCAACTGGGGACATTTGTATTCTGATGATGATGGGATGGAAAAACATCTCTTTCTTTTTTGCTCTTGTAATTTCTACATAATTGGTTAGATTTAGAGAGAAACAATTCTTTAAATTTCTCTGTGGCACATGGTTCTCCCTAATGGATTGCGGGATGGGTGGGCAATAACAATATGATAACAGTTGGTATTAGCATCTTTTGCTGTTTCAATAGCTTTCAGGGACCTATAGTGCAAATTAATTTTGCAATTTGGTGTATTTTGCTTAATTTAGTGTCAGTAAGCATTTATTCAATCCTCGTGGTCTTTTTACTCACCTTTTTATTTTTAATGACTTTAATAGAGCCTCCAGAGTATGTGTAAAATAAAAATATTTATTTTAGTTTACATATTGCTTCATTTATAAGATGTGTATTCTGTTTCTATTATTTTTAACAAGGGTATTATTTATTACTGATGATATGGTTTGGTTATTAAGTGCAATATGAGAAAGAGTCAAACTGAGGTCTGTGTTACTCAGCAACTGTGAAAATACCAAATGGAAGTGACTGTGAACTGCATTTTTAATATAAATTCTAGTATGTAATTCTTATGCAAAATCTTTACCTTAAAGTAGCACAAAAACAGGTCTGTACCTCACAAAAGAGATGGTAATTGTTACTGTTAAAGAAAGGGGGGGATAGTAGGGGACAGAGACAATTTTTGCTTTACACAATTTCAGACCTTTTGTTTGTATTTTCACAACTGGGTTAGCCAAACTCTTTTCTCCTTAGTTGCTTAAAAGATGAGTGTGGAATGCAAAGATTTGTATTTCTGGAAAACAGAAATATCTTACGGGCAATTTATTAGAGGATATGGATATGTTGATTCAATTCTGACAGGCAGCAAGCTCTTAAACTCCAAATAATGATTGATTGAATGGACACCATTGAAAATAGAGCCTAATGAATTGCTCCAGGGATTGGTATTTTGCATTTCTGTGGAATAAGAATGTAAGGGTTTTTTTGTTTGTTTTTACTTTAGAGAAGTAAATTTGCATCCCTTAATTATCTGCTGTTTTGAGCTCATGCTGCAGTCCTTATTTCAAAATGCTAATGTCTCTTTTGTTCAAAACAACAGAATTGCAAAGACACACATTGGGTTCTGGAAAATAATATTGTACTCTTGCCTTAAGACAATAGCTATCGGCTAATGTTGGCTAAAATGAACAGTCTGCATTTTTATAGAACTGTTCAATCTTTAATTTCTAGAATGCTGCATCTTCGATATTCACTAAGTTTCAAAGGATCCAGAACAGGTCAGAAACTGCTGGATACCGCCTCTGGAATGGATGGATTTTTTTGTTTTACTTTCAGTAAACAATAGATTTTGGCAAAGTAAAGTGTTCTTAAAATGAAAACATTAAGATGTTTGAATTTCTCTCAGAGAATTCCAAAAATGGCTATAGTTATTTCCGTTATAGTCTATTTCTATGATTAATTAAATCTATTTTGCTCTTTGTAACACCATTTTGTCAGCTAATACCCCTTCTAGCACTTTTTCAGCTAAAGTTGTGGAATACTGTTAGTTGTAATTAAGACCACCCTGCTCTTCCTTATCACTTGTGGTATTTGCTTTCCTTATCTTCATCCCTATGTGCCTCTGGCATAGGCTTTCTCTCTTATATACCTAGCAGTAATTGCTACTGTTCATTGTTCATGGTAATTGTTACTGCTGAGTGTTTGATCTAAAAAGATGATTACGTGCATAAGAATATTTAGATCATTTGGTCACTGGTAAACAGTATGCTACAAATAATGTTGGATGAGCACATTTCAGCAAACAAACAGTAAGGCTTATACTGTATGAGTGTAAGGCTATATGACTTTTTAATTATATTTTATATAAATACAATAGACTCCTCAAAATGTTATTCAACCAAATATAGCAAAAACAGATGCTACATAGTTAAAGCTACAAAGAAGCAAGTTCAAGATAGACATTGTGAGGAACTTGTAAACTCTATTGTATGAACTATCAGACAGTGAAACAGGTTGCCACATCCTGACTGGAGGAATTCATACAGCTGCTTTGCACTAGAACTTCCAAACCCTCCCAAATGAACTCAGACTGAACATTTGGCTCTTCCGCCTTTGGTGATATCACTACATTAACAATCATATTTCCTACAGTCCTAGGGTTTCCCCCCTCCTCTTTTGTATGTGTGTTTCACAGTGGAGGAAAAGTGCTTGCCCCAGCTTTAAATTGACAAGCAAATGGCCCTTGCAGTTTGAACATTGAAGGAATGAGCAAGAAGTGGTTTTGGAAATAATATGTCCTCTGAATAATTCCTCTTCACCAAAATATCGTAGTTATAACAAGCACACTGTTTTCCATCTGCAGCAGAAAACACTGCCATGTATCTTTCTTTGTAGACAAAAATGTTGTGCATGGTTGTAGACATCTATGAGCCTGTGACTGACATTCATATTTCATCAACCTAATGTTCTCTATTAAAAGAGACTTCCCATGAGATGCTATAGACTACTGCTAGTTTAATCCAAATAATCTGGAGCATCTGGGAAAGCCTGTTTGGATTTGGGGATTTAGAGGCATCTTCCAGTTGCTAAGGCAGTTTTCCTGTATTGCATCCAGAAATGCATCCTGTTGCAGGTAATGTTGTTTAGGTTGATAGTACACAGTTGCACATTTGATTCACAAAGAGAAAAGGAGGGCATCTTTTGTATTCAATTGTTCTACAGGAGCTGGAAGAAGGGGTAGGCAAAATATTATTTTTCTATTTGCTATGACATTTTTGTGTACGAGAAATAAACTCTGCCAAATGTATTATGTGAAAATTGCTAGCACAATACACTACTGCTAAGTTCTCTCTCTCTCTGAGGAGCACAACACAGTGCATAAACTCCTAATTTTGTTTCATGAATCTACATTTGTTTTATATATCTAATTCATCTAGTGTCCTTTGCTCATGATAAACTAATGAACCAGGTAGCTGTTTTGTGAAAGGGAAAGGAGTTAGAAATATGATGCCCAGGGTGACCAGTGTACTTGGAAGTTTTTCTAAATGGCTGTTTCATGATGTATGATTTCTTTTCAGGTTTTTGTCAAGCCGGCAAAGATTTGCGATTAGTATCGCTGCGTATGGAACAGATTGATATTCCACCAGGCTTCCTGTTGGTTGGAGCTAAGTCTCCAAATCTTCCTGAGCATATTCTAGTCTGTGCTGTTGATAAAAGATTTCTGCCAGATGACCATGGAAAAAATGCACTTTTAGGTAAATGAGAATTCATTCATTATTCCTCATAATATGACAGATTTACAGTGGACTGAATTTATGTTATATTGGATTAATTCATGTCAAAGCTTTCTCCATGTGCTATCCTAGGAGAGTTTTTGAAAGCTTTTTCATTAGAGAAAAAATATTTGGAATCTTCCACTTTATTAAGTGCAGTCTATATATCTGTCAGTATTAGCAAACCTATTAAGAGCATAATTATAGACAGAGGATTGAGATCCAAAGGATTTTTTTTCCTTCAGTGGGAAAGTTTATTAAGGAAGTTACATACTTTACTCAAATGACTACCTTTGACCTTTCCTTTTTGTCAATTCTCTTGGAGGTCCTCAATTTACAAGCATTCATTTAGTGACAATTTGAAGTTACAATGACACTGAAAAAAGTGACATGACTGTTTTTCACACTTATGAGTGGATCCAATCCAACCAGGAAAAAGATTTAGTCTTTCACATTTTTGGTTTTGTGCTGGAGCCCATCCTCAGGGAATTTCTCACTACCAGAATGTGTACTTTGGCTATTCTATGCATAATATTTATATGGTACTTGAGTGGATGTGGCTTCTTATTGGTTGATTGGGATGTTGATTGCCAGCTACTAAGTCATTGGCTGTTGTTTCCTTGTGCTGTCAAGTTCACCCTTATAGCAATAGCAGTTAGACTTATATACTGCTTCATAGGGCTTTCAGCCCTCTCTAAGCGGTTTACAGAGTCAGCATATCGCCCCCACAGTCTGGGTCCTCATTTCACCCACCTTGGAAGGATGGAAGGCTGAGTCAACCTTGAGCCGGTGAGATTAGAACTGCTGAACTGCAGATAACAGTCAGCTGAAGTGGCCTTCAGTACTGCACCCTAACCACTGTGCCATCTTACTCCCTAAGTAAACCAGTACTCCTGTTGACTGAGAAGGAGCTCATTTCTCAGACTTCAATCATTTCCCTGGCTATCTTTGTATATGCTCGGCCAACAATCTTATTAGCAGTTCGTTACAATGTAGGTTTGAATCTCCTTGTCTGACCACTCACTTATGTTCTTGCAATCTGATGGTTAGCTTCCTCCCCATTTGTCCTACATACTCACAAGCAATCCATGCAGGGGATCCAATAAATTACATTAGTGGTATCTTCCACCTCCACTTATGAGTATTGCAGCAACCCCGTGATAATCTGATTAAAATTTGGACGCTTAACAACTGGCATGTTTTTATGACAGTTTCAGTGTCCCGGGGTCATGTAACCCACCTTTTGAGAACTTCTGTCAAGCAATGTCAATGTCAGATCCATTGCATGCAGGGATTTGTTTTAGCCAGAGACAGCAAATACACAATAAATATTATTGTGCAACTGCAGTGTTTAACTTAACAATTGTGGCAAAGAAGGTCGTAAAATGGGATAAATAAATTAATGTCTTGCTTAGCAATGGAAATTTTGGGCTTAAAAATCAAGGACTACCTATATTCATTTGTAGCTTATATAAAATAGCTTCTTTTGATTTTCATGGCGGAAGTGTTGTTGTAATATATTCAATGAACTGGATCATAATTTAATGTGATTGGTTTAGATGGCCTGGCTGAACATTGTCTGACAGGGCCTGACTATAATTTTACCCATTTAGAATATGAATAAAGTGCTATGGCTTTTTCTAGTAAACCACATATGAGAGCCATAATATGAGATGCATATTAGCTTGTACAAATTTATATAGCTTTGATTATTTTTTCCAGCTGTATTAGATTTCAGCTCCCATAGTGTTCCAAAATTGGCCTGTGCTGGTTAGAGCTTATGAGAGATGGAACTCTAATAGATAGTTGGAAAGTATTAGGTTTTGGAAGCCTTTAGAAATTGGAAGGTATAGCTACAACTTTTTTCACTACATTCTTTTTCAGCATCCTGGAAATGATGGTATTTCTACAGGATCAGATCAGAATTATAGCAGTAGGTTAAAGATTACTTTGTAAAAGTCTTTATGTGGCAGGAATGCAAGTATATAGGTTAGTCCAAGATCAAAGGCAGATAATTGAACAAAGCAAGGATTTTGGAGATTGGCATAAACAATTCAACTGAGACAAGGGCCAGCTGGATTATAGTGTTCAAGTTTGCTCACGTTCACATGGAAATTAATGATTCAGGGAAGAGTGAATTCCTCTCATTTGGAACAATCAGTTTCTAATCCTCTAAATCAGCCCTCTGTTCTAAATAAATATTATTATAATTCCCAGTTCAACCATGAATAAGCAGGCAGTCTGGGAACCTGTAAAAACGTAGGTTTTGCAAATACTTTCTGTGGAATATCCAAATTTCTATTCTGTGTTGCACATAAACTTTTCATAAATGTTCTGTTCAACTCTCATCTAATTGCTTTGTAATCCAATGTTCCAATCTCTTTGTTTCTGGTATTAATGTGAAAATATGTGACTTTTTAAAACCTTTTTAATTTGTGCAATGGAAAAAAAATTCAAATATGTGTAAAGGAAGGAGTCTTCTTCCTTTGCCTCTTTAGTAATGGACCCATTTTTAGTAATTTTTAGTTTTGGGCAGATGGTATTTCTCTCAGAAGACTGAACTATTGAGGAAGTTAAATTAATACACTTTGTGTCTTTGAGTCAGCCTTGACTTTTGGTAACTGCCTGGATGCATTCCTCAGATTTTCTTGGCAACATTTGTGGAGTTTTAGAAGCAGATTAACTCAGATTTCATTTAAACAAGAAAAATAGTCTTCAAGCAGAATTAACTGAAAATGTGAGAGAAATTTTCAAAATATAAACGTGTATTCTTTTTTGTTCAAAAGATTCTGTTTCTAAATTTATGGACTGTATTTTATTCATCTTTTAATTTCCAAATCAAGTTTTAAAATCTAGTGGTATGACAATATGAGGCTATAATCATTATTATATTGTTAGGCTTCTGCTGATTCTCTCCTCTTCCATTTCCAATTTGGAGGAGATTTCTGATTCTGGAAAGGGAGAAGCTACTGGTAGATAAAAGTATGTGCATTGACAGGTGTTCCATTTTTTGTTGCTATTGGATGCAACCCATAATTTTTAAAAAAGCGGACAGTAGCATTTTTTTTCCTTTGCCACTGTGACAGCTAAAGCAACCAACTAACAAAGGCTGAACAAATCGCCTAACCTTAGATTATAATAATTAAGAAAATATATTGACAGCTATGCAAAGTCCTTTCTGAAATCAGTGGACAGTCTACAGTAGATCAAACACAATATTTATATCCCTAACTATCTAGGAGAATTCAAGATATAAGATGTAATTAGGCCACCTTGCCAAACTGGTTTGATCTGCTAACCTTTCTTTTGTATTTTGAAGAAATTACATTATTGTTCAGAATATATGAGCTTTCAATTTTTGTTGAAATTCTGCCTTACTATGTTGCAAAAAATCAGTGTTGCAGTGACAACATAGATTATTTCTTACATCAGGAATTTCCATAGAATTCAAAGTATATGTATTTTCCATTCTCCTCTCCTGTAGCCCTAAATCATTTATCCATATCAAAAGAAAAAAAACCTTTGAAAATTCAAAATACCATAGTATTGTTTAAAAAATTAAGGAAATTAAGGAAAAATATGGAAAAATACAGCTTTGGAATTAATTCACAGTAGATAAACATGTCTTTGTAAAAAGATCTTTAATTGCTTTTCCTAACAACTATCCTTCCATGACAGTGTCCTCAACTGGTCTTCTTTGGTATTTTGGAACAGGAATGGGAATGTTTTTTCCCCCTATTTAGATGTCCTATTTATCTCTGATAAAATCTATTGGAGCTTCCATTCAGCACTGAATAGTTGACTTCTGTCATGATAGCATGCTACACATTTTTCAGAACAGATGCCTATGGGTACACCATGGGAAGTTTGATGATGATACTTGTAAAATGTAGATTTCATTCTTCTTCTTTGTTCTTTAAACTATCAGTGTGCAGGGGGAAATAAATACTAAGCCAAGTGGATTCAAAGAAGAGAACTTGAATAGAAGCAAAATTATCAAATATCCAAGAAAAATTGTAAAACCATCATACTTTTTTCCAACCTTGCAGGTTTTTCTGGAAATTGTATAGGCTGTGGAGAAAGAGGATTTCGGTATTTCACTGAATTTTCAAACCACATTAATTTGAAACTCACCACTCAGCCAAAGAAGCAGAAGCACTTAAAGTACCACCTAATAAGAAATGCTCAAGGTGTGCTGTCAAAGGGACCTCTTATATGTTGGAAAGGTAAGAAATATATTCTTGGATGTTCTTGAGTGTGTGTGGGGAACATTAAGAAAATTGAATTTTAAAATGGCTAAATAGTACATTGTTTTGGTATGCTTTTTCTTAAAAGAGGGAATTTCCAGATGATATTATATAGTAAACCTAGCTTTTTAGTTTGTAAGATGTTATATATGATTTTAAGTGTTTCTCATCAGCCACTGAAGGACCTTTTTCCATATTAAAGGAGAGCCTTCTTCAATCTAGGATTATCCAACTATTTTTAAAGGACATCAAATTCATCTTTAAAGCATAATAATATTCTCTTGTAAAGTAGTTTACTTCATTTCCTCTTAATCTTATCCTTCTAATAAGGAACACAGGACAATTTTTGTCTCAAAGCAGCCCATAAAGTAATGAAGTTGAAAGGTAAAAGTTATGCTTATGTCAGTGAAAAACAAAATATATTCGAATGCTTCTGATTGATAAGCCTAAGAGAATCATGTATACTAGGGTGATCTTTTTCTAATTGGTAGAAGATTGCATAATTGTTCCCCCGCAATTCTCCCCACACAAATCTAGCTATTTCTATTGTGTAGAGGCTAACTCCAAAAATATACAGTGGCTTAATTTTGGAAGTTAGCCTCTACACAATAAAAAAAATGTTGTGGAACAGACTGCCTACCTCTAGTCTAGTGTAACAGATCACTTCAAGGAAAAATAAACACTAATATAACAACTATATGCATGTTTACTTGGAAATAAATTGCCTTAGTGAAATTGTCTTCTAAATAGGTGATTGTAAAAATACAGCATAAGAAATGTGTGAAGATAGTGGAGATAAAGAAGTTAGCCTAAACTAATCAAAATATCATGTTCATAAGACACAACATAGGGCAAAACACAGAATTCCAAGAATTCTATGTAACAGTTGATGATCAGCATATGTGGATATTTATTCCAAAAGTTGCCAAAATTGTGTTTAACATGATAGTCTTGCCACACATTTTTCCTGGAGAAAGGACATCTTCTTAAAAATAACCCTATTATCCAATCCTATGGCTATTTAAACTGTTTTCTATGCAAGCAGCTTCTCATTGTCATCGTCTAATTAATACAACATGGCTGTAGGTGTGGTTGTGCTTGATAACACCCCCCCTGTCTTGTGCAAGGCCTTATATATTAGAATGATAACTAAGGCTTGTCTTCCGCAATTTCCTAGAAGTGTTTCTGTAGTTAGTATAAGGAATATACTGATGTTGCAGTTCTATAAGAACCCTTTGTTCTAATGTTATCTTTTCTCCCATGCACAAGAAATGAGGAGAATTATAATATTAGACATATCTGATTTTAAGATCTCTCTGTATGGAAGGTATGCTTTCTTTGAAATTATTCTTGTATTTCCCATAACAAAGTTAGGATCATGGCTGCTGCATGAATTTTCTAAAGATTTCTAAACTGAAAATAATCTTTAACAAATTCCAAGAACTTTGCATTTTAATTAACTCTTGATTGCACAGTAACATGTTTTGTTTTGTTTTTTTGCATATATCTGTTCTGCTACATTGTCTCACTGTCAATCTGGCTGCTTAAATATGTACTATAGCTGCTTTACTTGCAGAATGTAGAAGCAGGCACTCTTCTGTTGCTAGTCATTCTGCTAAACCTAGTTCTTCAGCATCTCCATCTGTGACTCCTGAGAGTGGAACAGCCAATGGATACAAGCCAGGGTTCACCCAGACAGGTAGGAGCTGACAGTCCATTGCATCCTAAAGGTGACACTTGTGGAGTAATGGTTATGATGCCATTACAGCTCTTCTGTAGCTGTGAAGCCCCCAATCATAAAATTTCTGGTTGCGATATCTTAGGTGGAATGCAATGTTTAAACTTATTATATAATAAAAGATGTTAAGTTATAACTTATTCTGGAGTCTGTATCAAAAAAGAACATAATAGTTGCCAACCATCAAAAGATACACTTATTACGATGAAGCTTCGTTCTATATATTTGGTTCAGTAAGGCTTGCAAAGACTTCCTACTGAAGTACAGTAAAAACTCTTTGGGGCCTCTGTACCTCCAGGATTTTATGACAAGTTCTCTCTTCCTATTGTTTATAAGTTAGCGGGAGATTTGAGTGGAGGTTCATGATTCATTAATACTGGCTTCTTGCATATTTTGGAGTCTTATGTGGGGACTTTAAATATAAAGAGCAGATGTCTCACTTTGGGCCTTTGCCCTACAGCGTGGATGTAGGAAGTAAAATTTGTAAGGGTAGAATTCCTCAAGTACTAAAACTGCAGAACAGCAACTTTAGATGGAGGATAATTCTGTATTTAGTGTGATTTGTCTTCAGACCATTGGGAAGATCCCCCCCCACCCCCGGTTACATACTCCACTATTTTCATAAAATGAAGAGTAGAATTTGAATACACAGCTACTTTTGGTTTGTTGTTGTTTAATAAATATGTGTTCCATGTGCCTTGGGGATTTAGCCATGCTGGCCACATGACCACGGAGATGTCTTCTGACAGCACTGGCTCTTTGGCTTTATAACAGAGATGAGCACTGTCCCCTAGAGTTGGGAATGACTAGCACATATGTGCGAGGGGAACCTTTACCTTTAATCTGCCTCTGTGCTCTAACCAAGGAAACTGGGAACCTTTTAAAAGTTTCTCGCCCTGGTATTTGCAGAGAGAAAAGCTGTCTTTGCGGAACTGCTCTCAGGCTAATGGCCCTTAGTCACTAAAGAGAAAAATCCTATTTTTTTATACGAGAGAGAGAG